AACTCTCGGCAGCCTGTGGCTCAGCTGATACGCTTTTATTGAGTTCACTCTTCACGCAGGTGTTGGTGAAGTCCTGGTTTTCTTCCTCTTTTTCACTGTTCTCTACCCATGTCTTCTCCTATTCCTGTAAAAGGTAGAGCGGCCTGGCGTTTAGATCCTGCCCCCCTTCTCTGCCTGCACTCGCACCCAGGACTGTGCCAGTCTGTCCCGGGGCCCCGCATATTGTTTACCTGGCAAGGTCTCCCAAATGTATGCTTTCCTGCTCTACCTTTCTGCTTGGACTTCTGGTAGGTAACTCCCACCTGAAACTTCCAAAACCCCTAATTGTGGCCTTCCAGGTCCTGCCACCTGGTCCCCACTTACCTCTGCAACTTCATTTGCTGCTGTTTTCTCTCTTTTTCTCCCTCACCCTCCACCACACTTGACTTTTTACTATTCCTGTCAAGCTCCTTCCAGTATCCAAGGCTTTGCATTTGCCATTTTCTTTGCCTAGAATGTTCTTCGCCAAGATCTTTGCTTGGCTTGTACCCTTACCCTGATGTCAAATGTATTTCTTTAGAGGCCTTCCCTGGTCACCCTGTCTAAAATAGTACCTTCTTACCTGTTTTATTTTGTTTTAGTACTTACCACTACTTTAAATCACATTTTGTTTCTGCCCTGTGGGAATGTGAGCCTAAGGAGGGCGTGTAATTAGTCTATCCATCCCTGTATAAGGCTTAGATCATTGCAGGGTTCATAGTAGACGCTCAATAAGTTTTCAGTGCATAAATGAATATATAAATGAATGGAGTTTTACTATACATTGTTTTATATGTAAACCATGTGACGATAGCCTCAATATTTTTGAATCCAAGGGGCAGATAAATGTTTATTATAATAGAATGGTTAAACATAATATAAAAGTGGCTAGCTAGAACATGTTGCATGTAGATTTATATAAAGGAATTTCCTGTGAGTGATACATGGGATGTCTCTTTTTGTTCCCCTCTCTGGAAATAAATTGTGTTTCCTTGGCCCTTCCCATGCAGCTGAAGAACAAGTTCATGAAAAAACTCCCACGTGATGCAGAAGCTTCCAACGTGCTTGTTGGGGAGGTTGACTTTCTGGATTCTCCTTTCATTGCCTTTGTTCGGCTACAGCAGGCCGTCATGCTGGGCGCCCTGACTGAGGTCCCTGTGCCCACAAGGTAAGCTGTTCTCTCACCTGTTGGGGTCTACAATGTGCTTGTAGGGAAACCTCCCTCTCAGGCTAGAAAATCAATAGAACGAGGATACATACAGTGTAAGCACATCCGAGAGCTTTAACCTGAAGTAATGGCTCACTCTGACTTTTATACTGTCAAATTACTTGGCATTTACATAGTAATAATAGCAGAAATTATAATAATTTATGGGGCAATGTACTAGTCTCTTCTTATGAATTATTCTGCTTAATCCTTACAATAGTATTTTAAAGTACAAACCATAGTTATCCAGCTTTACAGATGAAGAAACTGAATCTGAGAGTTTAAGTAACTTTTCCAAGTTCATACAGTTTTAATAAACGGTTCAGAGCTCATAGTTGTTGTCATTTGCTCTATGTTGTATCAGAAAATTGGTAGTAGGTTCATACATAACTGCATGTATATATGTATATACACGCATATGTAAAAATCATTAAGCTGTACGCTTAAATTTGCATATGTTACTGTTAGCTGTATTATGCCACATACATTTTTATTTTAAAAAAAAGCATATCAATATTATGACAATCATGTACTCATTACACTGCACAATACTTGAGAAGTCATCCTCTTCATCTCCCTCTAGAGCTGTGCTCCATAGAGTTAGGAAGTTTGACTTACAGAGTGCAATGAGTTGAATAGAAGTTAAGGTTTCACTTAAACTTGTGCTGCAGAATAGTTTCAAGAAACACTTGTAATCAGGTTGACATCAGAAAATTATCATATGAATAGAGAGAGTGTGTGTGTGTGTGTGTGTGTGTGTGGGTGGGTGTGTGTGTGTGGTCCCAGGTCCCAGGGCAAGGTGACTTTTTCCTCTTCTTCAGGTTTCCCCATGTGATGAGGAAGGGTTATGGATCCTCCTCAACTCAGATGGTCTGAGCATGATTAAGCAACCGACAGTGAACACAGGCTCAAGGTTTGTTTTGAGCCCAGCTAGGAGGAAAATTAGGAGAAAATTTTCTTAAGACCTCTCAATCGGTAGATTACAGGCCATCCTTCGTGATCATACCAGGTACTGTTTGCCCATGTTTATATATCTTAGACCCTTAAAAGAGGAATGATACATAAGGCAGTCATTAGACAAATAGCAGGGAAAGGAGATGATCGTAGCTTATTCAATTAACGGTATTATCATGATTTGTGTTTTCTGTAACTGAGCTTTTTCCTTGAAAACATCCCAGCAGAGCCTTACAGTTCTGTCTGTGCGATCACCTGCTGAATAGCTGCCCCTATGGCTTTATTTATGTCTTTTTGGACTAACTTTACTGGGGCTCGAAAGAAAAAAAATGTGCTGAGAAGTATTAAAGAAAATTGCTCTTGCTTTTTCATTTTATTACCATGTTTCCTTAGACGCTACAAAAAAAAATATTTTAAGAGCCTTTTATTTAACAATCATATGCATACACTGAATAGCAGATCAGGACCATTTTTGTGTCCTGCTTATCATCTGCTCCTGTCTGGCTCATTTCCTTTCTTCTGCACTGGAGGGAAGTGCTAGTCTCGAGATGAAATACAACATCGTTTGAATTAACAAAAGGAGCCTAACGATTCAAGGGAATGTAATTCAGTACTGTTATAAAACTATTTCAGGGCAATAATCTGAACAATACATCCTTGCATGTTAACATTTTTCCAGGAAATAGTTTTATCCATTTGCTATCCTCCAAAGCAGTGCAAGCTGTAGTCACCGGGCAGCGAGTCTCATTAGCTTTTTTGTGTGTGTGAGTAACGTGAGGACATTTACAATGGCTGCATCCTGTGAAATCCAATAAAGGCAATCCCACAAGGAACGTGGCAGTCTGTGAAAGGCTGCGTCTGGATTCCACGATGTGCTTTAATGTACACGCTACTCTGTTGTGCTGCAGGCAGACCTGAAAAGTCTGTTTCTGTGCACATCTTTTAACGAGCATTATTCCTTTTAAAAGTGGCAAAAAATTATGCTTCTATTATTACTATTAGTATTTCTAATAAACAGCATTACTACCATGGACCTTCTAGTAGGTGTGCCTCTAGCAGCTCTCCTTTCTTGTGTAGAATTCACAAGTTTTGCTGTGGTTGATCTGTTTTAGCCTCCGCTTGCAGCTGGACAGCTGTCACCTGGTGGATGTCTGTCTATGTAGGGGCCCTTCTTGCCATTCATGTGAGAGCAAACAAACGCTGCTCTTTGATCTTGGTGCCTTGGTGGGAAATGTTTATGATTTTCCTAGCATCTTGCAAGCACTTTTCTTGCTGTCATCTTATATCTGTCCACAGAGGCCCCCACTCCCTCGTATTTTTGAGCTATACAGGAGAAATATTCTTACTACCATTTTGCAGTTGAGAGGTGGAGGTGAAGGGAAGATTCACTGTCAGTGCTTGGAATAGAACGGCAGAATTTTGACTCTGAGGCCAGACTTTTAGGAAGAGCCTAGGGAGATACCTCAAATGGATTGGAATAAAATATTTTAGGATTCTCCCACAAAGAATAATTTAAAAAACCCATATTAGTTTGTCCTTTTCTGATCTTGATTTGTATGCCTGAGACAAATGGTTATTTGTAAGCTTTAGTCCTTTTAAAAATTTGCGTATTTACCTTTTTAGTAGCATAAAATGTATGTTAACATATATTTTATATTATAAGTGATTATTTCTCCAAAAGAAATAGTTTGTGCTTAATCATCAAAACCATTAAAAAAAAATATTAGAGGGATTGGGATGGAAGTCCCATGAGTTCCATTTTGTCATGTTCACAGTTTAATTGCTAGCTCTTGTTTACTGCATGTTGGTTACGATGGGTTTGTGGTTCTCATAAATCCACTGTGGAAGCTACAGTTTAGGCACATTTTCCAAAGCTGCTGAAGATGAATAATGGGTTATTTGATGCACTTTTGTTTTGAGAGAAGGGAATAAAGGATTGGTACATGCTGAGTTTATTCTAGAAATAGCTGTGATGTGTCAAGGAGAGAGATACACATCCTTTCTGAAAAAATTGAGTGGTTTAGGAAAGCTGGCTTCTTTTCTGATATTATGGTCTTTTTCTGCCTGTAACTATTTTGTGAATATGAGTATAGGCCATTGGTTCCAGGCGTGGATCATCTGGTAAGTACTTCTTTTTGTTGTGGAGAATGCTAGATGCATCCTCCCCAGGCATAATTAACTATATGAAAAACCTCACAAAAGTAGAAAAAGGCCTCATGATGATGCTTGAGATAACCAGGCACTATTAAAAATTCTAACTCTGAGTTATTTCTGTTTATGAGTGAATAAAAAGAACTCAGCAACATAAATTAATAATTTTTCCGAGCTGTCAACATTGCTGTGCCCTTTCAGCCACACAAATGTGATGTTTACCCTAATTTGTTAATAAAGGAAAAAGCTTCTGGTTAAAAATAACATCTGTCCATTGACAAAAAACATCTTGGGTCATGCAAGGACTTTTCAGTACATTATAAAAGCTGAGTTTGGCAGGATGTACTTCGATCATAAAAGTCACAGCAGCTTTCACTTCTTGGAGGGTTAAAGGGGAGAGAGCATGCTTCAGGCAGAGCGAACTGCAACTTGCTGGGTTGTTTGGTGTATTCAGTTTTCTCAGATCTCTCATCTTGTTTCAATAATGCAATCCGTATTAGAAGCTTCTTAAGGGTCTCTGCTCCTACAAATGAAAGTCTTGAGATGATTTTAAGGAGCTAGATTTACTGAATTGTTCCTGATTGGAGTAATGTGAAAATTTTAACTATCTGATAGGTCGCCATGTTGTTTCTCTTTGGCACTTGGTGATAATTCCACTAATCAAGGAACCTCTTTTTTAAAAAATTAAAATTATATTACCCAGGAAAGAGGAACACTACCTTTGTATCTAGGTTACTGAACCAATATAATTCTTGTATAGTGGATTTATTGCTATAATATGTTATATACACCTTTGATCTGCTGCTTCCATTCATTTTTGGTTGGTGCTATTTAGCAGAGACCAAAGAGTAAATATTTTATTGAAAACGTATGCCCTTATCTCATAGGATTTAACTTGGAAGCTCTATTACTCTATCAGCTCTCGAAATAGCCATCATCGTCTGCCAAAGTTTATGCTTGAGGACTATTAATGACTGAGAGTGTTTTTCTCACTAACAAGACAGTATTTTGGCTTTGTTCCCGTACAGTCAACCTGATAATTAACTCATGTCAGTTGATAAATATATTTCCATAATGTGTATTTGTAAGCTATAATCGTGATGGAGGTGCTAGGAAGAGGTAGGAAAAGATACAGAGAGGTTCTGGGAAAGTTTTGGATATGAGACATTACTGAAAAGTTAATATTTAGATACATTGAAATAATACACATTGGAAGCCAGAGAAATCCATTATTTAACAATGTGCTAAGTAAAGGATCCAGGTGGTAGCTATTTTCCCTCAGGGCACAGCATCTTGCCCTTTTTGCCCAAAACTACAACCTTATTGTCTCGTTTGACAGCTGGCCATTTGTAGACAGGCAAATGGAATTGGGAAATGTGACCAGTACTACTGTCTCTTAATGAGATTTATATTTTGCTTTAGTGATAAAGTATTTTTTGGCATTTGTTGCACTCAAATCAGTGATCACTTTCTTTAGAAAAATCCATTTTACTGTCATAAAGAAGCGTTTTATGATACTATAGGTATATAACTCGGGGTTGGCCTCAAAGGAAGAAAGATTCTAAAGTATTATCAATTGAACCTTCACTGAGAGAAGAACTAAAATCCAATTCTAATAACGACTTCCTTCATACTTGAACAGACTTTTGTGCCTGCTGATTGCTTTTGCTGTTTCATCTGCTATGATAACACTTGAAAGTGAGTGAGCCGCTTCACTCTAGAACTGGTTTCTAAGCAATCAAGTGCTAAATGGTTTTATGGTTATTCTGGTATAAAATCCGAGTACACTTGCAGACACCTTTTTACATTCTAATTTCTGGGTTTTTTTCTATCCCTTTTGGGTTGGATTTTATGTGAATAAAACTAATTATACATTCAAGGGCATTTTGGAACAGACTCTAACATTTTGTAGAGTACTTCCTGTCAATCTTTTTTTTTTTTTTTAATTTAAAGTGAGGTATAGAAATAAATAAATGAAAAATAAAATTCTGCTACGCAAAGTGCTAAACCATTTCTGGTGCCATAGAAATCTTACCTAAGATTTCTTGTCCCTAGCTTGAAATCGACAAATTCTTTTCCCAGAGTGACCTATGGAAGTCGTCGTTGGAGAGCCTTTCTCTGTTGAGTCACAACCATGGTATATTGATTGGGTGGGTAATATTAGGCAGAATTGTGTGGCGAAAATAATAGGAAGTAAGAAGGCCTGTCTGCTCTCTGTCATTTGCTAGGCACAGACCTGGGTCTTGTCCATTAACCTTCTTCAGCCTTAGTTTCCTCACCATTAAGTGGGACTAGGACACCCGTCCTTATTGCAAAGTGTTGAATGGAAACTGAAATAAGGTGATGAATGTGAAATGGGTTGCAGGCTTTGAAAAGCTGTGCAAACACATGGTATCATTTTTATTGTCCTCATTATCTCCCTCTTTAGGTAAGACAGGACCGATATCAAGGCAGGGATTTATCTAGTGTCACCTTTTGTGTGTTTTTCCATACTCACTCACTTACCAGGTTCCCTCCTCCCCAGTGGAGATGTGTGTCTCTGCCCTTGTGATCAGCGGAGGATTCCTTCCAGCTTGATAAGAGGTGAAACTAAGTGGGGATAAGTTCATTATTGCAAGTTTCAGAATCTGTTTTCTATGGAGCAATACTTTGTGCATTATGGAGAAAAAATGTTTGGAAACAGAAATGTTTGGAAATAGAAACCCACAGAAGAATTTTCACTACCTATGAATGATGCTTTATTCTGAATTTCTCTTATATTTCTCTTTCCTTCCTTTGGCTGTCACCACGTGGCTTACTTATAGAGCACTTGGTTTTTGCTGACTCCCAATCACCTCTGGGTGAAAACATTTCTTAAAAGTATGGAGAGGATCATTTGTCACTGCTGATACCGAGTGAGGGCAAGTTGGAGAAATGTGAAGATGTGCTAAGTCTTTCTAGTTATTGTGCTTAATGGGTTTGCTCCAAAGATTCTGAAAGTCAGTAGAAATGGAGAGAGAAAAGAGTTTAAAAAAGAAAGATTGAATGACTCGTAAAGTGCATAAAATGCACCCTTCCTGCTCAGCAAAGAAGCTTCTCAGGTTTCAGTGCTAAATTCTCTTTTGCCTCTAAATAAACTGAACAACAATTTGTGTTTCACCATAGCGTGAAAGAGTATCCTTCATATTATCAAGAACATTGCCTTTATTTTCAGGATGAATACTATACCTAACCTTTTTATGAACTAAAATAAATGTTGACTTTGATGAAATGTTTGTTATAGCCTTTGCTTCTCTCCTTTTCCATTAGGTTCTTGTTCATTCTCTTAGGTCCCAAGGGGAAGGCCAAGTCCTACCATGAGATTGGCAGAGCCATTGCCACCTTGATGTCCGACGAGGTAGGGAATCAGGAAGATGGGGTTCTGTGAATGTCCAACTTGGGTTGTTTTCATACTGTGGATTGGCCATCGCAATGTATTCAATCAGAATTATGTGGTCACCAGCCTTCCTTATTAACATAAGGTACAGTCATTTGTGGCAAATGAGCTAACTCCTAGTCAGTTTTCAAAAAGTCAGGCATACATTTTGTTTTGGATTCTACACTCTGTGCTGGAATAAACATGTTTTCCTTCCTTTTTCTAAACATTTTCAGTTCTTGAAACTGACATATGTTAAATACTCTTTAAAAAGATCAAGGTCGTTGTATTAACATAAACTTTGTTTCTACAATGTTTGATATATCAACTCTGGGCATTCAAATGTACATATATTATTTCAGAAATGCTGGGTTCTGTAAAATAATGCACTGTAAATTGGATAGTGCATTTTTCTTAGGTTTATGTTTTTATGTTCACTTATTTTGTGAGAAGGAATGATACATATCTAAAATGCATTAGCAACCATTACAGCACAGTATCTAGTACAGGTAGTTTGGAATTATGGCCTCACTGTCAGGACAGCTAGAATGTTGTTGTATGCATTTTAGACATGACCAAACTCTAGACTAGTCCCATAGGAGGAGAAATACTGTTAGAATATAGGAGCATTAATTTCTGCTTTTGTGTCTTTCTATTATAATTTATTATTTCCCCAAATGTTTTGCTTTTGCTTCAGTGCTTGATTTTTCAGTTTTTCCATGTGTTAACTGGAGAATAGGGTACTTTTCTCCTTAGTTATAGAAGTTCTGTGTGGTGATTTTCAAGTGGTTACTTTATTCTGGAGCTGGGAGCATTGAAGCATGGCTATGCTGTTTTTTCACCTCAAGGGAACATTTATTTCCCTCATCTCAGTGGTTTAATTTATTTGTTGTTGTATTTTTCCAATTCTTTTCTTTCTCGTTAAAATCCTTCCTCCTAAGATGTATCAACTAGGAATGCTTTAGGCTGCAAGTAACAGACTTGTAGTGAATTAAACAATGTGGGATTTGTTTTTCTCATGTAATAGGAAGTTTGGAGGTTGATAGTTGTTGGGGTTGGTATCACTTAACTGCTTAATAATAGATCAAGAGCTAAGGCTCTTGCTTTATGGTCTTAAGATGGCATGTTTTTTCCTGTCAATATGGTAAAACAGCATTGCCTACAATCACCTCCAGTCATCTCATCTGCATTCAGGGTAGGAAGAAGGACGGGGTAATGCTGGCTGTATCTGTCTCTTTTAGCAGATATTCTAAAGCTTTCTTAGATAGCTTTTTCTTATGTCATTGGTTGCAACTGTTAATCTTTATCTGCAGTGTTGGCTGGGAAATCGCTGACTTTTCAGCCTCTGTAGTGGCAAATAGCAAGAGAAAATAAGGTTTGAGGATGGCTGTGTCTGCCACAGATGATGTGCTGGCGTTTAGTGTCACCCTCCCCTCAACCCCACTACGCTTAGACTGTTAAATGTCACTTAGTCGATAGCTTTAAATAATTCTTTCCAGGAGAAGAGATTTAGTAGTAATCTTTAAGAATAGGTAAGGGAGTTGAACAGGGGCCATCTTCCCTTCTGAAGACCGAAGAATTTGACTTATGAAGTGTGAAAAACTTAGGTTATGTGTAAAGAACTTTTAGATCATCAGCTCAGCTAAAAGAAGAAAGGAACGGCTGACAAAAAGGATTGTGTACATTTTGCAACCTCCTTCTTGGGGGATCTGTATAAAAGATATGAAGCATTTGATGCCTTGCCTGGTTCAGTTATTGCCTTGCTAAAAGACAGACGATCACCTATTTATGTCCCTTTGCTTTATGTCCTGCCAATACAACTCAGATTTTTCTTTTTTTAATATCTCACATTATTTGTGTGTTTGAAAACTGCAGCGTTTGGGTCTTAACCTGGCCTTAACACTCAGCTTGAACTTTTCCTTCTTGAATTATCAGCAACTTATTGTCCCAGGAGTTTTCATCTCAGGGAATAACTCTTCAGTATGTTTCTCCAGACCGTTTTCATCTGGCTTCCAGAGCAGCCATATCAGGAGTGGCACACACCAGCGGGAACTGGAAAGCAATGTTGCTTTGCAGTATTGGCAGGAAAGAACACATAAAAAGCATAGCTGTCTCCTTATGCCTCTAATTCTATTCTTTGAGATGATAATCTGAATACCGACATATTTCGGGCAGGCCGAATGGTAGGAATAAGGAAGCCTGGTTATGGTAAAATCACTGTGGATTTCGGATTACATTCTTTGGGCTTGACATGGTGTGAGGCTTGTGGAGAGTTCTCTTGTGGATCAGCACATCCCCTACTGTTCTCTAGGTGTTCCATGACATCGCTTACAAAGCAAAAGACAGGCATGACCTGATCGCTGGCATCGACGAGTTCCTAGATGAAGTCATTGTCCTTCCGCCTGGGGAATGGGATCCAGCGATCAGGATAGAGCCTCCTAAGAGTCTTCCATCGTCTGACAAAAGGTAAATTATCATGCAGTTGAGACTTTTCAGTTGCTGGGGTAGCCCTGAAAAGGCGGTTTTGTTAAAGAAAGTCAAGTTGGGCTATCGCTCTAATATTTTCAGGTTCTCATTTAACTTGATGTATTTTCTCAAACGAATTACTTACATGCCTTGATTTCACATTTCTTTGATACTATAAAATAGATGTCATATATTGTGATGTTCTTCAGTTATTGTATTATAAATTAGAGATCTTGGATTATGATATGGGAAGATAATCACAGACATTCTTTGGGGATGTTTTGGGGACGCCCTGTACATGTGGAAAGATCAGTTTGCTGAAGTCAAGTCCTTCTAGATTCATGAGGTTAAGAAATGGGGTGAAATAGTTGAGGAGAAACCATTGTCTGGAAACCTGTTATTTCCCAGGTGAAGGAGCTTCCCTGTCATAAGATACACAGTTCATTGAACTTTCCTTGTCATCATTTATCTTGGTTCTCTTGTACAGCACCTCCAGAACTATCTCTCAGGATAGCAGGAAGAAATAATGACCTTACTCCATTTCACTCCGTCTTTCCATTAGCCGGGGCAGGATACAGCTAAGGGGCCAATAGAGCAAGTAAACTAATAGACCGTTGGGCTCTGCTGTCTTCTTAGAAAGAATATGTACTCGGGTGGAGAGAACGTGCAGATGAACGGGGACACACCCCACGACGGAGGCCACGGAGGAGGCGGCCACGGGGATTGCGAGGAGCTGCAGCGAACTGGACGGTAACCCACAGATCCTTTTGCGCTGGTGACGAGGCTGTCCTTAGAACTGAATTTCTCCCCAGCTTTCTAGCAGCAGTTTATTCACTGGTTTGTCCATTCGTGCCTGTTTGCCACAGGTGTCGGGGACATGGCGGTGAATTAAACAAAGCCCACTGTCCTTGCGGGAATGGTGGGAGACGTACAATGAGCAAATAAAGCAAATGTGGCGATGGTTTGATGAGGAAAATCAAGGCAGAAATCGGGACTTTTGGGATGGGAGAATGGTATTGTGATTCTAGGTAGAGCGATCAGAGGGGGCCTCACGGAGAATGGTGAAATTCCAGGAGAGCACTGGCAGAGGTGGGCGGATAGGGGGCCTGTGGCCAGGGTGCTGGGTATGGATGGGACTCCGGCCAGCGACGGCGGTGGAATGATGAAGGGGATGCCAGACCGAGGCCCAGAGAGACGGCAGGAGGACTGATGAGCATGCCAGCCTCCCCCTCTCGGCTGTCTCAATTCCATCTCTTCTGTACGTTTGCTCAGAAGTGAGGAGTGACGTGCTTCAGAAAGGAGCAACTCACAGGTCACTGCTGGGCGGATGGGAATTCAGGTTTCCCAGCTGCTTCAGCTAATTTCACAATAATTCTTCCTTCTCCGCTATGAGGTTTTTCGTCGTATTTTGGGTTAAGTAAAATTTTCAGTGGGATACTCATTTTGTGAAGATGCAGCTTTTCAAAACCAGGGTTTTTGAAAACAAAAAGGTATGTCATTTTAATATGCAGTTGAATCTTAATGAAATGAAGTTATTTCCTTCTCCTGATGACCCACTTGGGTTTCTCTCCCAAACTGACAGGAAACTATTTCCCTTTTATTCTTAAAGAATAGAGAACATAAAACATTCTTTCCTTACCCCCCACCCTTTTTTGAATGGTTCTTTGTAAACTATGTCCATTAGGAATATCCTTTTCTTTTTCTACAGACGTGAGTTCTGGGATTTAATTTTTTAATTTAATATACTGTATTTCATTCTTCCGTGTTTCACCTTTCCTGAGTGCGTCGAGTGTCTGCAGTAGACCCAGTGCCATGCACAGCTCTGAATATGCTAAGAAAACCAAAGCAGGGCACTGCCTGGTGGATGCCCAGACAGACAGACAGACAATGCTGATACAGTGTGATAGCTCAGACAGGAAATATGAACTACGAGTGCAGGGTCAAGACTTCAGAGAACTGTTGAGCTTTGGAAGAGGACATTCTAGGCGGAAGGCCGAGGTGTGAGGTCTGGTTGGGAGGGTGAGCAGACTGATCTATCAGTCACTCAGCCGACCTGCTAACGCTTGGCCTGGGCTCAGCTTGCACCTGCTTCCGTCACGCACCCGCATGCCTTCCTCCCTTAGTTCCTGCAGGTCCTTACCCCACAGTCGCCTTCCCAGAGGCGTGTTCTGGCCACCCTGTCGAAACGTTTTCCACCACCTTTTCTCCGGTATTGCATAACCCTCTTCCCCGTTTAATTTTATGCATTTTCCTTATTTATCTTGTTCATTGTCCACCCCTCACTTCTGCCCCCAGAGTAAACTCCATGAAGGTGGGGCACTTTGGCCTGTGTTTTCCACTGTTACATCCTCAGCACCCAGAATAGTGCCCGAGTGTGGGCGTAAGCATTTGTGAGATGAAAGAATGAATGAATGAGTGAGTAAATGAATGAATGAATGAGGGTGCAAAGCACGCTCTAGCAAGGTTATAAAGGGCCTTATAAGATCTGTGTGCATATTTGGATGTTTTTCTTTAGGAGATGACGGATTTTAATTTATCTGCACAGTTCACTGTCATCTAAAGACCAACTGGCTGGTCTTTAGGGAATGTAACACCTAATTTGGTGACCAAAAGAGAGAGAGGGAGAAGAAAATTTATTCCTTCATAGTTTTCCGGTTTTATTTTAAGACATTAAGTAGTATCTTGTCGTTGATTCAAGCATTTCAAATATAAATTCTTTCCCCTGTAGTCATGTTTGCCTTCTCCCTGTCCAGGTTCTGTGGTGGACTAATCAAGGACATAAAGAGGAAAGCACCATTTTTTGCCAGCGATTTTTATGACGCTCTGAATATTCAGGCTCTTTCGGCAATTCTCTTCATTTATCTGGCAACCGTAACTAATGCCATCACTTTTGGAGGACTGCTTGGGGACGCCACTGAAAACATGCAGGTGGGTATGGTTCTGGGGTGGACACAAATAGTGCAGCCCAGATCGCCTTCCTCACCCCTGCAGCTCGGCTCGGAGCAGATGGCCTTTCAGTTACTCAGCGTGATTTTCTTTCTTTTGCTGGATGCTGCATTTTACTTTGCTTCTGGCCTGCTGCTGTATTTCCAGCATTTTAGTAATTACAAAAATAGCTCGATGAAATCTGGCTTGAGTCACAAGTGGGGAAAAGAAGGGAAGGAAATGAGGATATACAATTCTATCTGGGCAAAAGCATATCAGCTGCTTTAATTTTGTGCAGTGTGCAAGGTTTAGATCTTCCACTACCTTGAATATACGGGCCATGTTCTGTTAAACTGGGTGATTACACTTTTTTCAGGAATGTGCGATTAGCTTACTTTTACATGGGAGCATATAGAGTCATCAAACAATTGCGTGATTTACTCAAGATTGGATTTGCATGTCTGCCGTTAGAATTTGGCTTTAATGAATATATGCAGAGAGTTGTTTCTTCCACACCTGGACCTGATTCTCATTAGGCTGTAAGGACTCTTGCTTGACTTATCTTGCACAATTAATTATAACCGCAGTTTGTTGGTTACTTTGCAGGTGGTATTTGCTTTCCTATGGCAACAATAATGGCTAAAGTTTTAGTGATATAAAAGATGTTTTAGGTTCCCTCAACCAATCGGGAAAATATGTACAAAACTACTTTTAATTGATCCGGTCATTAAAATAAATAGTTATTATGCTAGGTGATGGATGCAGAGTAGTGAATTAAGCTGATATTCTACAAAAAGAAACAGATTCAAGCCCTTTTCAAATTCTGTCCTCCCACTTTACTACTTATTATTGTTTAACCTATGTGACATTCATAAGTTCTACCAGCCAACTTTTTTTTTTTTTAAATGCAGCTAATTCCAAAGGATTGTTTTTCTTCTACTTCTGTTTTCTTTCCTGGGTACATTCATGTTCTAGATTTTTGCCTGAATACAAAAATAAATCGGAGACTATAACATGTATGTTGACTCAAGTAGAAAGTCAGAAATCCCTTTATACAATTGTAGTTTGTTAAGTGCTCTTTTCTTTTTTAACCTTTATCTATTGCTGCGTAGCGTGTTAACCCAAAACGTAGAAGTAAGCGTTTTATTGCTCTCTTTCGTGGTTTTGGTGGCTGCTGGGCTCAGCTGAGTGGTTCTCTTTTTGGTCCCTCATACACTTGCCATCAGATGGCCTCAGAGGTTGAAGTCGTACAACGGCTTCCTTACTCAAAGTTGGTGCCTAAGCCTGGACGTCTGGAGTAGCTGGGCTCTGGCCCTCGCCACGTGACTTTCCCCATGGCCAGCTTGGGCTTCCTCACACCATAGGGCCGTGATGACTTCTAAGAGCTCCTGCACCATCAGAAAGAGGCAGTTGCCACTCAGCATAATTTGTTCCCATGCAAATGTGGACCCAGTATTCATTTTCTGATTTTTGAAGAGAGGCTGAAAATTCAAATTCTTAGTGAAATCTGGTGATTTAGAAATATTGGCAATTGATTAATCTTTTTTAAAATAACATTGCGCTGGGCAAAGAACACATACCTCTCTGTTACCAGTGAGAGACCTGCAGCACAGGCTGTAGAAAGCAAGCCTGGTAGGACACAGTGATGAAGTACGCAAAGAGAGTGTTTTCCCGTTACTTCCTCATTCGTAAGACAAGAATGAATAAATTCAATTGTAACAGTGATGTCAGTAACATATCCAAGCTGGGCAGCTCTTCTTCATCTAAATGGCAGCACAGTGAATAACTAAAGCAGACCATTCAAGAAAACACGCAGAGAAGAGAGCACCAGGGCTGCACCCTGTGGCCAGCTAGAGGAAGGTAATACAGGCAACCCCGTGTTAAGAAAATTAAAGCGAGCTGTGATTTTAAAAGGGTGGTAAGACCAAAACTGTCTTCTCTCTGTCAGAATGTGTAGAGACTTTCTTGTGCAGATATGTTTTAAACTTTTTTTTTGATGGACATTCTTCTCATTGACATTGGGACATAAACACACTTCCTGTGTGTTAGTTTATTGCCTTTTTGAATTGAATTACCATCCCTTTGCAACCTCGTAAGACTTGGCTTTAGAATACTGCATCTGAGACTAGGAAAGAAGTCTGTTCAAGTCCGTTTTGGTCCTTCCTAGGGGAATTAACTTCTATATGAGTGAGTTTTGGGGAAAGTAGAGGACTCTATTGTGTAACATACATAACCTATGTAGTTAACAGCTATTTTTCTCCTCTGTGTTATATGACCTGGGAAAGGCCTTGCTGGAATTATCTATTTTCTGGATTCTAAAGACTTAAATGCTTTCAATGTTTCAGGCTGTTAAGTAGCCAACTAAAATGACCATTTGCTGCTTGTTACTCCTAGAAGTTGACTTTCAAACTTATGAGGGTATTTTCCTGATATAATCTGATTATTAATTATATGAATAGACTTCATGACCGCCATTGATACTATCACTGAAATTGTGAATGCACTGTTTGAAAGGTTTCTGCGAATGAAAACACTTTCTCTCCCCCATTTTTCTCTCCCTTCTGAAGCCTTTTTCCTTTAAAAAAAAAATATATCAGTGAAGCCTTCTTCCTAGACTACAATTTGGTACTTCGTACTTCTGGAAGTCACAGTGGGTGGTAAAAGCAATGAAAAAGAGAGATGGAAAATTAGTGACTGTTAATATATATTTGTTGAACTGAAATTCAACCAAAAGTTTTATCTTAATTTAAGGACTAGGGAGTAAGGTGGTTTAATATGTAGGAGAGTATCTCATGCCTGAAGGAATATGTACTTTGCCATAAAAACATTTTGATTTTCTGGCAGGGGAAGTCTTCTTGACTTGGTATCAGGACAAGCAAATATTTCATGGATTTGGTACTAAGGCCCAGGTCATTTCACAGGTCTATGTCAGAGGTGGTTTCATTCCTTTGCAAGTGTTTATGGAGTGTCTACTGTGCGTTCAGCTCTGTTTTAAGCACTGGGGATAAAGATAGGTGAGCAAGATAGATTAGAATTCTAATTTTGAATCCCAGCTACAGTGGATGCTGATGAAAACAGTCTTTTCGGTGCCCTCGAGAGGTAACAGTAGTGGTGCGCAGTGGGCTTATTTAGGGGACGAAGTCCTCTGGCTTCACTTGGTTTTCTAGACCAAGACTAAGCAGTAAAGCATTGCCAAAGCCTGAAATAATCTGCGGTTGTGTCACACGGCTTCATAAATGTGGCAGTGGGTTATTCTCAAAAGCACAGACAGCTTAAATGAGTCAACTGAGAACAGTGTCCTTGCTTTTAAAGGCAGGCAGCTCAGAGATGGCTCACATAGGGCCTTTATTGTCGGGCTACAAATAGACATGGGTGCTGGGTAGAAACATGTTGTGAAAACACAGATGAGTCACTGCACGGCTGTTGTCTAAGCAAACTCTTCTGCCAGCTTCTGTTCAGGAGGTCTTGCCTGCTTGAAGACATTTACATTTAAGCATCTATTTTAGAGCTGAAATATATATGTATATATATACACACACACACACATATGTAAACATATATAATTATACATATATACATATATATCTCATTGGAAACAGATGATCGTAGGAGCCATATAGATCATTTCCCAGGAAACTATGTTCAAAATAAAACAGATGAGGCTACGATGGCTCCAAGTATAATCAAATCGTGATTCCAACATAGATGATTGCGTGAATTCCCCAATTTGGCGTACACATTTTGCCCACCAGGCCTGCTCTGAGAGGACTCTGGGGCTTACAGAGTGGGTATTCATGGATTTCTTGTTATGTGTGGGCAATTAAAATTTGGCTTGGGCTTCAGGGAGCAATCGAACCACTTTGCCAAGAGTCGACCTTACTTTCTTCTAGGATCCAACCCTGACTTGTGACTATTTCCTGTTCTTAGAGCTCAGCAATGAAGGACTAGAGCCTAAGCTCTCTGAAGTCTGGGACTTGTGCAATATCCTTATTATCCTTTTTATAAGTCCCACCGTAATGCTCTGGTCTCCTTGCCATATTGTCAAGTAAACAAAGGCTTTTCAGTCTCGCCATCCTAAAAATATGTCCCGTTAGCAACTAAACTCTCTGTAACCACGCGTGCCAACTCACTGCATTGTGGAGTCATCCCTCAGTATTAGTGGGGGATTGGTTTCAGGAGCCCCCACCTCCACCCCTTATGGATAGCAAAATCCACAGATGCTCAAGTCCCTTATATAAAATGGTGTAGTATTTGTGTATAACCTACACACATTCTCCTGTATAATAATCTCTAGGTTACTTATAATACATAATACAATGTAAATGCCATGTAAATACTTGTTATACTGTGTTTTTAATTTTATTTTTTAATTGTTGTTTTGTTATTTTTTGTTGTTTTTTTCCCCCCAACATTTTTGATCTGCAGTTGTTTCAATCTGTAGATGCAGGAAGGCCCTGATACAGAGAACCAACTGCATTTATATTCTTGGTTGCTAAACAAGTATGCTGGTCTATTCATTTAAATACTTCTAATTAAATTTTTAAATGTCAACGTATAAATATATTTCACCAGAATTTATCACTGTTAGGGGTTTTTCATTCAAAGAACTGTCAGAATAGAACCTTGATATCAAACTAAATCAATAAATATTTATGGATCACTTAGTCTATGGACAAGATACTGGTAGAAGGAATACTTTTTTGATACTTTGTGGCAAGTCTTGTGTTATTTAAAAATTGTTCTTCTTAGCTTTATGGAATACAGAAAAGTATTTTAATTTAAGTCTACATTCTTGATTTTGAATGACTAAGCACAGTCTAGAGTGAGGACTGAGTGAAGAAAGTAATTTTAATTTTTTTCCAGGAGTAAATATAATCCTATTTTCACAAACCTTTTAGCAAAAGAATACAGTAAGATTTTTAGAATTCTGTGAATTTTGTGGTATTTATGGAGCCTAACAGAGCTCATTTTAAGGGAACTTGTCTCATAATAAGGAACATTTA